AGAGGAGAGTTTATTGCTACGCTTTTGCTCTTATTGGCAAGAGATGAGGCACAAAGGGAGAAAGGGAGCTCCAGGGTTCCGCTAAACCTATTTCTAAAGAAGTTGTTGGGCAAAGAAGTGCTTGATTTCCTCCCTAACGCTTCTCCACCGGGAAAGAAACCCATGAAGCTACGAGGCGCATTCAAAAATGCGTACATTCACTTCACACATGCGGTCATCGTGCAAAAGCAAGACATCCTAACAAAGGAAACTATGTGGCTGCTGATGGCACGGGGCGCCTTACCCATTTGTGCTACGGGTCAAAAGGGAGTCGACCTCATCATACCCGTCGTTCAGGGAGATATAGTAAAAGAAAGCACGGTGACTGCGATCTTCATACAAGTTAAGAACGACGATCCCACCGGCCCAGATTGTTCTAAATATTTCTTGAACTTGCATCCAAAGAATACAAATTACCTGTCTCAAGGCCAGGAAGCACTCGAACTCCCGTTCATCCGTCTCGTGATGGCTTTCCAGGGCAAGAAGAATGAAGTTACGCGCCATTTTATCGACTACTCTCGGCCCGTTGATTTCACTGCATATGATATCATATGCCGAGGTATCACGCCAGAGACCTACAAAGTGATCAAACAGGGAGATGTGGAGGGCTGGAAAAGATGTCTGGACATTTTGGGGGGATTTGAAGCACTTTTCAAGCATCCGAATGGAGAAGAAATGAGCGATGATCAGAAGAGGACGACCCGATTTCGATGGCCTGGTGCTGATCACACAGAAAAGTTTCCATTTCGTTGGATGCTGCAGAAGAATGACTCTGAACCTTCACCTGCCTAAGGTCATCCGAATCAACCGATTCTAAGTAAGCCGTTCAAATCGTAAATAAACTTTCTAACCCATTCTTTCAGGTATTTTGTCGTTCTCGAAATTTGTACTGACCGGTTCGGCAGGGCACCCACTAATAATGGTGCCTGGCAGTCCTGTAGCCTTCAATTGTTTATTTCTACTTGTAGCTAACCAGACGGGAAGGCCATTCAGCCTTCATCAGATACAACGTCTGGACACTGTACGCTGTTCTTGCAAAATATGTATATTTGAAATCAGCCCACTCCCTTTGCTCTTACTCTTGCGAGGCGAGTATAAGCGTCACCAAAAGGATATATAAGTGACCTCATTCTGAGAGAAGAATCGAAATAGCAAAGTCTACCAACACCAAGTATCGTCTCTGAGAGCTTTAGATTGTAGCAGGTTTCCGGATACCTATTCAATTGCTTACTCTATGAAAGACACTGGTTTGCGATGCTTTACGCGCGAGGCTGGTTTGTCTACCGGCTCAGTTTACCGGTTGACTATCACGTCATGAATTTCTCGGTACAACCTTGGGAGATGGAGAGAGGGTCGTTCAGGATGGCGCGTATAGCGTTTATCCCGAATATATACACCAACAAGGCGAGATTCCCCCTTTGACGACCCCACCCCACCAAAAATGAGTTCAGAACTGTTTTCACCAATTCGTGTCGGCAGGCTTGACCTTGCTCACAGGGTTGTGCTCGCCCCGTTGACGAGATGTAGAGCGGATTCTGCACATGTGCATGGTGACCTGGCAGTCACGTACTATGAACAACGTGCAAGCGTTCCAGGAACCCTACTCATCACGGAGGCTACATTCATCGCTCCAGAAGCGTCAGGTTTGAATGGGGTTCCAGGTATTTGGAGTCGAGAACAGATTGCAGCGTGGAAAAAGGTCAGCCTGCCCTTTTATGCAAAAGTGCCGCACATACTATCATTGGACTTTTTAGGTTACGGATGCGGTCCATGCAAAAGGATCCATCATTTATCTACAGCTCTGGGCGTTGGGGCGACAAGCCAATCCAAAGGCCCTGGAAAAAGAAGGAGGGTACCCGTATGTCTCTAGTTCTGATGTCCCTATGCAAGGGAAACCAAAACCTCGGCCGCTTTTTAAATTCGAAGTGGAGAAATATGTGGATCTGTACGCAAAGGCGGCGGAGAACGCAATCGAGGTGAGTGTGGAGTAAAGGTGCGCGTTTCTCCTGACGAGTCTTGGAGGCTGGTTTTGATGGAGTAGAGATTCATGGGGCGAATGGTAGCTATCCACTTTGAGCCAATCTGTAACACTGAGGATGTCGAACAGGGTATCTTATTGATCAGTTTATTCAAGACGTCTGCAATACTAGGACAGATGAATATGGAGGGTCTATCGAGAACCGTGCTCGGTTTGCATTAGAAGTGACCAAAGCAGTTACAGCTGCAGTTGGTGAGGACAGGACGGGAATCAGACTTAGTCCTTGGAGTGAATTCGGAGGCGAGTCTACGACCCATCCGTGGCCCTGTTGGACTCATGAAATCCCGTAGATATGAGGATGAAAGACCCCATTCCGACGTTTGAATATTTGATCCAGGAATTACACGACGGGTTTCCCCAACTCGCGTACATTCACCTGGTCGAGCCTAGGATTGCCGGAGATAAAGATGGGCGGGAAAAGGACCCCGAGATCAAGGTGGACTCGAATGATTTCGCAAAGAGGATCTGGGGCGAGAGGCCGTATATCTCTGCTGGAGGTTACACTCCAGAGAGCGCCGTCAAACGGGTAGAAGGGTATGGAGGATTGGTGGCGTTTGGTCGACTTTTTCTCGCAAATGTGAGTCTATCATTCCTCTTTGTATTCTGTGTGACTGAACGGAATGTTAGCCTGATCTACCAGAACGGATCAAACGCGGTGTACCTCTCAATGAACCTAATCGCAAAACGTTCTATACGCCTGGTCCCATAGGATATACTGATTATTCGTTCCTAGAGGAGACGCCGAGTAGCAAGCTTTGAGCCAATGGATGTCGTGAAAATCCAATTTAATTGCATTTGTCTTCATGATTGCTGAGACTCGACCCAAGGCCTGGGTGCAATATTAGGAGGGGAGTGACCTGTACCAGTCCGAATCGTCCCGACAGGCTTTTTAGATCTGGGAGGGTCGAATACAGACCGGCCTTAATGTGCCGTCCTCGGCCGTAGAACCTCCCATGAACCTCATGGCTCTATTATTAACCTTCCCGCATTCTTCCTAGGCACCCCCTGATCTCTTGTTATTAACGGGAATGAAGGGCTGTGTCACGAGTCTCGCCTAGATGGTGGAGGGAACAGGTGGAGAAACCGGGAGCTCCTCAAGCACAGTCCAAAGGTACACGAAGTCTGGAGACGGCCCTTCAGGGCCTCCACCAGAAGATGGAGATCCAGACTGTTACTAGAATGGCTCTTGAGCGCTTTAGCGATGGTCCTGCACAGAGTCAAGTCGGTAAAAGTAGTACTACCAAGTCAGGACAGTAAGTAACGTTTGATACACTAGCCCTGTTGGGAATTTCTTGCCTCAACCATCGCTTTGGGCCGGGTACACCCGCCTGAACGAATCGGCTCCCTGGCACGATCACTTGACTGATCGAATCCATCGTCAAGAGATACGTCTATACCCGCAATCCTCAAAGGTTCACTTTTCCGAAAAGACGACAAAGCTTCTTCCATTACGGCACCTAATCGGGAAAAAGGCGATCCTAAAGAGTGTCACGGAACAGTCACGTCGAGTGTATTCGATCTCTACTGACATTCGGATGATAGTTGCAGGTCTCAGTACGGATGACGTACGAATGAATGAGTATTCTGCTGTCGAAAGTGTTCGTAAAAATCAGTGAATAAGCGAGATGTTCCGAAGGTACGCGAAGGATGGAATCCAACTCTGAAAACGTCGGCGTGATAGTGGACTGGTGTGACTGCAGACGAGGGTGACTGGACGAGGTAGTATCAGATAGTGTAGTTTCAGATATGCATGGAGGCGTACCTGGCCTATTTACGAACCCCCCGTTCTGAGGTAACGTTCGCAATGATTTCGCACACCAAGTCTTCTTTCTCATTTCGGAAGAAGAACAAGAAGACTTCTACGTCTAAGCGGTTAAAGGTTCAGGTTTGCAGAAATTGTCCGAGCACGACCCATCATGAGGTTTGCCCAAAAAGGGTGAACAGCCCTAGTTCAAACAGAGAGGCCGGCCAGCGGTCCCATCCGATGGGATACAGAGGAGCGAGATGCCAAAATCGTCGTTGCAGGAGCTTTGAAGTCGACAGATAGGTGTGTGTGCTTCTTGATAAGAAGTAGGAATTCAACACGGCTGTATCCAGGCTCGATATTGCAGCTTCTCTCTAGAGAAAAGTCGCCGCAAAAGTTCTCATCTTCGTGCTTGAGTTCATCTCCGCCCAAATGGCCCCATTTTTGCGAGCCTACATGTGAGCAGGAGAGTGCAGCTGATGGAGGATGAACCGAAGATACCGGATGTCGAGTCGCGGGTTGAACCGGAGAGTGCAGGCTGAGCGTCGTTGTTGCCATTTTCCCACCCCCTCGATTCCGTAAAGAACCGAGGCTCAGATTGTCACGCGAAGCACCTTTCAATCCAGAACCACCGCCATCAACAAAGGAACACTCGTCCCATTTCTCCCCGCTATCACCCCCACGAAATCCTTCATAAAGGGAGCGCCAGCTCTGACCCCCTTCTTCAAGTTCCCCAGCTCACTCTTCTTCCCTCCACTCTTCACCAGCAACAACAACAATGCCAGGTGGTGGTGCAGCTGTAGTCTCGTCCGGTATGGAGGGCGGCCGCAAGTCTTCGATTCTCGGGATCGGAATGGTCTGTTTCGCGGCATTTGGAGGGTGAGTGTAGATCTTTGACATTTTGCAATTCGAACTGACGTTGTGCAGTATCCTCTTTGGATATGACACTGGTACCATTTCCGGTATCAAGGAGATGAACGTGAGTGTGCTCGACAATATAGCGCCCAGTGCTGACACCCTTGTAGTTCTGGCTCAAGACGTTCGGATACCCCGACGGCAAGGGAGGGTACACCATCTCTACGCCCAACGAATCCCTCATCGTCTCCATCCTCTCCTTGGGAACATTCTTTGGTGCGCTCAGCGCCGCACCCATGGCCGATATCATGGGCAGAAGGTTGGCCATCGTCGCCTGCTGTGTCGTCTTTTCTGCTGGTGTAGCCATGCAAACCGCTGCCACTGCCGTCCCCCTCTTTGTCGCCGGTCGTGTCTTTGCTGGTCTCGGTGTCGGTCAGGTCTCGTGTCTCATTCCCATGTACCAAGCCGAGTCTTCGCCCAAGTGGATTCGTGGTGCCGTCGTCTCTTGCTACCAGTGGGCAATCGTGAGTCCAAGTATACTATCAAATAATTTGATCTAACCCATTTAGACTATCGGTCTCTTCCTCGCTTCCATCGTCAACGAGGCATGCAAGGACCGTGACGACGCCAGCTCTTACCGCATCCCCATCGCTCTCCAATTCGTCTGGGCCGGTATCCTCGCCGTCGGCATGTTCTTCCTCCCCGAATCTCCTCGATTCCTCATCAAGAAACACCAAGACGACGCCGCCGCCCGTTCGCTCGCCCGTCTCCTCGGTACCACCCCCGACGACATTGACGTCCAAACCGAACTCGAGGACATCAAGGCCAACTTGCGCATGGAAGAAGAAGTCGGCGAGAGCTCGTACATGGACTGCTTCAAGATGGGCCCCAACAAGATCCTCTTCCGCACCCTCACCGGTATCTTTATCCAAGCCTGGCAACAACTCACCGGTGTCAATTTCATCTTTTACTACGGCACGACCCTCTTCAAGAACTCGGGTATCAGCAACCCTTTCACGATCTCGATCGCCACCAACGTCGTCAACGTCGTCATGACCATCCCCGCCTTTTGGGCCGTCGACCACGTCGGACGTAGACGTCTCTTGCTCATCGGTGCCGTCGGCATGCTCATCTGCGAATACCTCATCGCCATCATCGGTGTCACCATCTCTGTCGAAAATCTTTCCGGCCAGAAATGCCTCGTCGCTTTCGTCTGCATCTACATTGCCTTTTTCGCCTCCACTTGGGGTCCTATCGCTTGGGTCGTCACCGCAGAAATCTTCCC